CGGTTAGGCCCACGCATGGAGGTAGAAGGCTCGAGACCAGAAGCACTGGCGGACGTGTTGAGGCCAAAGTGACTAACCGATCCAAAAAGTTTCCAAATAAAAGAACACAAAATTAGAGAAGTAACGAGAAAATATAGCAGCACCCAAAAATTTCAACGGCTCTCCGTTTACAATCGTGATAAGTCAGCTACTGTATTTTTCCGTTCTTTGAGATAATGATCTTACAATTTAATTGAACCTGCAAATCCTACCACATCATCGCGGTTCGCCGAAATGATGACTATATACGTTCAATAGAGGTTTTATTAAACGTGCCCGCGGATTTACGAATATGTGTTAGGGTTGAATCATTGATTTTTAGTATGCTCAGTACGACGTTTCGCCGTTGCCGGGGACAGGAAGAACGGGACTAGCGAAACCTGCCTGATTAGGAACTGCTGGTAGGTAATGAAATAAGCAGCGTAGCGCGGCGGAATTGGTACATCGTTCGGTGTTGCAGATGCGTGCTTCGGATTCTGTGTTGGTGAAAGGCGGTTTTTCGACGTTTTTCCTCCTTCTTTCTTGAAGACGACGTTTTGCCATTCGAGGACTGCTGACCTTTGACCAGCCTTTCGCTATAGCTTTAGCCGCACTCACTTATTGACAGAATGGACAGCAACGGCCACAAAGTGATCGTAGTGGACAACGGCACCGGCGTAAGCGTTCTTACATCTCGGTTGATGTTACGTTTCGTTTCGCTTTGTTACTCATCTCTGTTTTTCCCTCAGTTCGTCAAGTGCGGCTACGCCGGCTCTAACTTCCCGGCGCACATTTTTCCGTCGATGCTGGGAAGACCGACCGTCCGCTCGACGTCGAAGATTGGAGACATTGAAATCAAGGTTTTTACATTTTTCATACATTTTCTTGATCACTACGTGTTTTTATTTACAGCGTTTTTCTCTTTCATTCAGTAATGCTTGAGATGATTCCTCCAGTAAAGGGAAATCGCTTAACGTTTTTTGCTGTCCTTTTTTCGAATTTTAAATGGCAGCCTTGACGAAAAATGTTACTCATTCAAAGCCTTACTCTTAAGAACATCACGGGGGCGTTGTTAGTCCTGAAAATTCTGCCACTTCTGGAATATGACCTTCGCTTTAATAGCCAGCAGAGCGTGCATGAAAAAATTGACATACGGCTTTGACCAGGCTAGGCTTGGCATCGTTTATCTGCATAATGCTGTTATTATTCAGCTATGTCTAACCTTTAAACGTAACGATAATTCATACCTGATTTACTGCTTCCCTGAAATTTGTATCGATTCAGTGTAAATGCAATAAAGTACGTTTTCCTATCCAATGATCGGTCATACATATAGCAGCATCATTCAGATCGGTCGCTTGATGTATGCAGTCGTCTGATCAGAAGAATTCTTTTGAAACTTGTTGTCAGAAAAGAACTTCGCGTATTTTCTGACCTTCAGCTTCTCCTTAGATCATCAGCTGCGGACATCTATGTTGTACTGTACCTCCTATAGTTTGTTAAGATTTTGTCTACTGCCCAAGTAATCTGAAGGAACAAAGTATTGATGTGTCTGAAAAATTTAGTGTTTGAATTCTGTTTCTTGGTATCAGTATCTGAAATGTGACATTTACTGGCTTCCACCAGTGAAAGCTATCCCAGAACATGGTAGTAATATTTTATTTTCCCCTCGAATCCTGTTTCGCTAATGTATCAGAAATATTATATATACTTTCGTTGCATCATTGTACATTTTACCCGCCTTTGCATCTCTGTTCATGGACCATTTCACAAAAAAAAACCGTTTGCGAAGGCTGATTTTAAACATGGTTTATAAAAATAAGTTTGACTTGTATTTTGAACCGCTAGTGTGATATGGTCTCTGAAGTTTGGATCTAGTGTGGTCGGAATTACTCTGTAACTTGCATAAAGCATATGTATGCAGAGTAAACCCTTCAGAGACTAAGGATATGAAATACTGATAACACTCTTAAATCGATTTGCTCTTTCCTGCTTTATTCTTCAGCAGTTGCTTCAATTAATCAGTCAGTCAAAAAATTTACTGCTTACTTTAACGAGGTAGCGTGTAAAACTAGCATTGACAAACAGATCAGCAGCTACTTGACCTGTTGGTATTACTGTGTACATATAATACACAACAACAAGCCAATAAATGTACAGTCATAACAGAAGGAAGAGAATAATGGCCGAGGCAAGGAATTAAGTATTTTGTTCGTCAGTTGTTGGTCATATTGAAAACAGCACAAAATGCGGATTATATGTGCACAACAGTCTGAATGGGATGTTATACCGATGTTTCGGCCCCTGTCTCACTGTACTTTGTTCACGGTAAAGAGATGAATGAGTTCTGGAATTCCTTATGGTTGAAGCACTCTGTAAGTTCGGAGCCAAAAGGACTTCTGAACATCACTCGCTATGCTTCGAACAATT